GGAGCTCTACCCCAGGACCCTGGGATCATGACCCAAGCTGAAGGCAGACACCTAATCGACTGAGCCACCCAGGCGCCCTCTTCCAGTTATCTTGATAGGAATACTAATATGAGCTTGGGCCCCACCCTCAGATAAGAAACTTAAAGATGGGGCTCCTAATTTTCACTCAGAGTTGGAACTCTGGGGGTACCAAATGTGGTCCTCTTGCTTTCTTCCGTAACAAGGTGGAAAAGAGAGGAAAGGTTTATTATAAGCCTTTTATGATTCACACTTTGGAAGACAATTTAAAAACGGTGGGGGGTGGGAGGGATGGGGTGACTGGGTGACGGACACTGGGGAGGGTATGTGCTATGGTGAGCGCTGTGAATTGTGTAAGACTGTTGAATCACAGACCTGTACTTCTGAAACAAATAATACATTTACGTTAAAAAAAAAAAAAGAAGAAGATAGTAGGAAGGGAAAAATGATGGAGGGGGAAATCGGAGGGGGAGACGAACAATGAGAGACTATGGACTCTGAGAAACAAACTGAGGGTTCTAGAGGGGAGGAGGGTGGAGGGATGGGTTAGCCTGGTGATGGGTATTAAGGAGGGCATGTATTAAATGGAGCACTGGGTGTTATATGCAAACATGAATCATGGAACACTACATCAAAAACTAATGATGTAATATACGGTGATTAACATAACATAATAAAATAAAATTTAAAAAATAAAAACAACTGTTTTAAAACAAACAAAAAACAGAAAGAGACTTATAAATACCGAGAACTAATAGTAGCCAGAGGGAATGGGGCAGGGGAAGGGGCAAAATGGGTGAAGGGGAGAGGGAGGTTTAGGCTTCCAGTTATGGAATGAAGAAGTCACGGGAATAAAAGGTAGAGCCTAGGGAACATCGTCAGTGGCCCTATAATAGCATTGCATGGTGACAGATGGGAGCTACACTTGTGGGGAGTGGAGCATAATCTATAGACTTGTCTAAACACTATGCTGTACCCCTGAAACTAAAGTAACACTGTGTATCAACTATACTTCAATAAAAAAATAAACTAAAAAATTGATGTTTTTAGAATCATTATAATAATACCTTTTCTAAGTGACTAGATTCTCAATGGTTTCTATTTCTTTTTTGGGGGGCTTTTGTGGCATGGCTTCTAAAAAGTTTACTTTAGTGAATTAATATAAGAAAAATTCGTAAAGTAGCAAAAGTTATGCTACAACAGGTGAGCAAATAATTCTATCTACTTTTCTATGGATTAGCTTTAAACTGTGAGGAAGGAGGGGTGACTGGGTGGCTCAGTCGTTAAGCGTCTGCCTTTGGCTCAGGTCATGATCTCAGGGTCCTGGGATTGGGCCTGGCATCGGGCTCCCTGCTCAGTGGGGAGTCTGTCTCTCCCTCTCCCACTCCCCCCTGCTTATGTTCCCTCTCTCGCTGTCTCTGTCAAATAAATAAATAAAATCTTTTAAAAATAAATAAATTGTAAGGAAAGAGACGAAATCTAGAAGAGGAATCCATAAAGAAAAAGAATTTAAAATATTATTGCCTTCTCAATTCTCTTCTCTCCCTGCCCCCAGTCTCAGCACACAGGATCAAAGAAAAGCTGCCTTTGGGCTTGCATATGGAAAAATAAAAAATTATTATGGCCCCAAAATGAAGGTGAACATCGAAAAGGGTAGGTGAGAGAGGACGAGGTCAGATCTTCAGTTGAAGTAAGCCCACCTAATGAAGGAAAGGGGGTGGGGAGAAAGATGCAGTAATTGAGATGCATTTATCATGTGATCTTGCTTTTAGAGATGAATAAAAATAAACAACCTTGGGGATAAATTCGTTTCTAACAATGAAGAGAGGACTATAGTAAAGTATGAGAGGAGAAGAAAGATCCTTGGATTCAACTAGTAGTGGCCTGGACACCACAGTGTATAGTTGAAGACCTGATGTTACTGGAAAATATGCCATGTTAACAGTGCCCCAAGAAGTATCTTTTCTAAGGAAAAATACAATGTACTGATAGATCACACGTGAATGGTAAAAGAGGAGGCCCGTGTACTGCTCCTCTGGTCCTCTTTAAGATAATCCCCTTGAAATATAATGCCAGCTCATGTTAGTGAACCCGACCATCAAAGGACAGAATTTTTAAAGACCATATTTGAGATCTAAGAACACTTCTTTTTATTGGGAATGATTTTTGCTTGTGAAACAGTTATGTATAAACCATCAATAATAAAATGTATTATTTTATTAAGCCAAAGTTTGGAGAGAAATCTAATTGCACATTAGCTTATCACTGGAACATCCTCTGTAGGTATGAGGAGACAATATTGTACATTTTTCCTTTCCCACAGCTTTCCACATTGTATGGACTTAATACATGGCCTGTTATTTCTGGTGTGATTTAAAATCACACCCTAGTTTGGATTGCACACCTTACTCTGCTAATCCACAGCTGACTGTTTACAACTTTTGTCACTATGAACATACATATAGAACTTCCAGAGTCAGATTCTCAAAGGTAACATAAGATTCATGTGAAATACGATGAATTGAATTCAGAATTAACTCTGGATGGTCCTGAACCCATAAATTAAAAGAAATGTCTGCTAATCCCTTTTTAATCTAAATTATTTTCTCAAAGAAGCAGGTGAAGACACACTGACCTGGCAAAGAGATTTTTCTGATGCTCTTAAATACTTAAGACAACTGAAAAGAAATAGTGAGTGATGTTGGCTTTACTGCTTGACCGAGCACACACAGTGACTTTTTTCTTTTGTGTATTATAAGCCTCTATCATATTCTGTAAGATTCAACTGATAAGACTTTTCGATAGATTTCACCATTAATTTGAAAAGGACTTTCTTTTTCCTTTTGCACTCATTCGTGCACTCATTCATTCATTCATTCATCAACATACATTAATTGAGCACTTGAAGTGTAATGTCAGGTGTTGCAGGATAGGATGATGAGAAAAACCCTGGCCTATCGCATTATCTCTTGCCTTCCGCACAGCCATCTTGCTTCAGCATGTCCTCATCTTCTCATGGCTCAATTTCTTCAAAGCCTTCTAGTTGGTTCTCCTGACACCCAAGTCCCACCCTGTTCAAGCTGTATTCTACACTCAGATGTAGAAAAAGATGCCTTGATCAAGAGTGCCCTGTTGTCCATATTGACATGACTACCACCACCACCAATAACAATAATGGTAATTAATAGATGCTATTCTTTGATCTGTTGACTTTGTACACTTTACCATCTCATTTAATCCTCATTGTGACCATGAAAGGCAAAAACAACATTTTTATTTCAATCGTACCCACAGTTTCTTACTAATGGGGTGTATGGGCCCATTTGAATTGTGTGCACAGCTCTCGTGTCTGCTCCTGGATCATCTGCTCTGTGAAGCTCAGACCAGCCCTGGCACAGAAGTTGACACACCTTGCATATAGAAAACGTTCAACAGGGGCGCCTGGGTGGCTCAGTCGTTGAGCGTCTGCCTTCAGCTCAGGTCATGATCCCAGGGTCCTGGGATCGAGCCCCGCATCGGGCTCCCTGCTCTGCGGGAAGCCTGCTTCTCCCTCTCCCACTCCCCCTGCTTGTGTTCCCTCTCTCACTGTCTCTCTCTCTCTGTCAAATAGATAAATAAAATCTAAAAAGAAAAGAAAAGAAAACGTTCAACAGTAGTCTTTCGAATGAGGGGATTAAAAAAATTACCCTATGTCCTTATGTAATTTCTCCCCAGTTATTTGAGATGCTTTTAATCTTACCCCACTGAATTTAAATATATTTTTTGAACAAAGTGTACAGTTGAGAAGTGTTGCTGGCTGACTGATGGAGTGCAGAAAAACCAGTGTTTGAGTAGGCAAGGGATGGCTCTGACGGGGCGTAACCTTTCTGAATACTTGTAGTTTACCTGCCCTTTCTGGAGCAGCATGTTTGCGAGTTACTGTGTTCAAACACATTACATTCCGAGTACAGAAAAAGGAAAATAATGGTGAAGAATACAGTGCAGGCGAGTGTTTCTCGATGCTGTTAATGCTACATGATGACTATGCCATCAATGGCGATATTATCAATGACAGAAGAAAGAGGACTGCTGGTAGAAATTATACTTTGAAAGTAAGTATTTAAGAGTAAATCAAATTATGTTCTCCTTTAAGCGTCTGTAATATTAGTTCTTACAAAGCTCTCTGAGGAAGTATGGAATGGTTCCCATATATGTGTGTGTGTTTCCTTTCCTTCTCTTTTTTTAAGATTTTATTTTATTTTATTTATTTTATTTTTTTAATTTTTTATTCTTATGTTAATCCCCATACATTACATCATTAGTTTTAGATGTAGTGTTTCATGATTCATTGTTTGTGCACAACACCCAGTGCTCCATGCAGAATGTGCCCTCCTCAATACCCATCACCAGGCTAACCCATCCTCCCACCCCCCTTAAAATTTTATTTTTTTTAAGTAATCTCTACACCCAACACGGGGCTTGAACTCACAACTCCGAGATCAAGAGTCCATATGCTCTGCCAACTCAGCCAGCCAGGGGCCCCAATCTTTCCTTTTTTTTTTTTTTTTTAAGGCTTGGAGACAGACTCCAAACTGCTTTCTGCCCCCAAAAGTAAATATGCTACTATTCAGTCAATCAGATTTGGGTCCAATATCATTCAAGACAATCAGGAAGTAACTATTTGTGAAATCTTCTTTCACTGAGTTAAAATGCTGACAGTTATTAGCAACACACACACACACACACACTGAGCCATTTGTCTATTAAAATTAAAGTGGTATAAACTAAATAGGGAGATGAGATGAAGAATACAGCTAATTTGGGGGAACATTGGGCTAGTTCCCAAGATTTTTCTCTCCTTTTGGTGTCTATTTCCCCTGACAGACTGGAATTTCTGTCCCAGCACTAGTGAAAGAGGATCATCGCAGTAAATTAATTCACTTTCAGATGAAACAGACTTCAAAGCACAAAGCCAGCCCTGGGACAGAGGAGCCCTTAGTTACCTGCTGTTTCTCTGTCAGCTGAGGTCAGCTCTCCGTTGATTCCATTCTCTTTGGTATCTGAATAGGTGCTCTGTGACCCATGTTCTCCAAAGGCGCCCTCTTCATCCTCCCTGTATGGGAATCCATTGGCGCTTCTGACAAGTCCTTCCCCTGCCCCGCCTTGATCCTTAATCTCAGGTGGATGTGGGTGTGCAGATGCCTCTGTTAGTTGAGCTGAGGTCCAGTGAGGCGCCTTTCCTTCATCTTTCCGATCATCTGCCATTCTTCCACGCCCTGTGACCTCTTCTGGGATTGGAATCAGAAAAATGGTAGCCATCAATTTGGGAAAATCTGATATAAGACAGGGAAAACTTATAGCAAATGGTTAGCTATGGCCAAAAAAAATGCATAATAATCCACTGTAAATATCAAGCAAATAATTGTTGTTAATACTTTGGTTTTTAACAGATCTTTTCTGGCCTATCCCTTTAATATATGACCATCATCGATTTATATATATATATACATATACATATTTATGTATATGTGTGTATATATATATTTTTTAAACTAGTGTTTGACATTTAAGGAGATATCTAACTTTCATTGATATATGATATTGACTGTACAGTAGAGTCAAAGAATCCTTCAGGACAGGGGAAACCACAGTATGAGGAAATTGGGTAGAAAAAGGTAAGAAAAGAAATGGCTAAGGGGAAATGATGAATTAGGGAAGGTTACTCCAAGTACTCTTTTAAAAACACTACTCTCCCCGAACCCTAGAATAGACAATGTCTTACGTAGTAGTCCTTTCTATTTCAAAGGTGTTCAATTCAAACCAGAGGTGGATATGTTTTCTTGGATACTGTATATTAAAAGATAGTTTTGACTTAATTTTTCAGCAAACTTCCCTAAACCCTATCTACAGATTAAGAGTATATACAGATATACTAAGATTTTCTCTTAGTATAAATCTTACATGAAGAATAAAAAATACAGTATTAGGCCCACATCCTACCTTATAATGTTATTTCACAGCTAAGTCAAATCAGATATGGAGAAGTTAAATCACTGACATACATCAGGTAGCTGTAAATTATAGTGAAGTTTGGATAAGTCATGGAGCGGGTGTTCTGCACACGTTAAGTGAGTGATGGATATCACATGGCCTTCACTTCCACGCCACTAGGTTTGGAGATGTAGTCAAGAAAAGGTGATTCATCACTCAGTTATTTGTTGCCAGCAAGGTAGTCTCATGGATGCCCTATTGTCCCCACACTGAGGATGAGGACACAGGCAATGATTGTCTCTGACGGAAACGAAGAACACTTTGCTGTTTTCAAAACCAGTAACTCAAGTAAAAAAACTCCAAAGAAGCAAACAGAATTGCATTAAAATAAATCCACTTCCTGTTACTAAGCTCTGTTTAGAGACATCACAAATAAATTAAGCCATAAAGAAAGTTAAGTTTTCCTACCAGATTCCTAACAAGTATTTGTCTTTTTTTTTTTTTAATTACTGAATTTCAGTGCTTTCCTCAGGTTCTCATTCTAGTTTTCTATTCATACCAGGAAGAGCTAGATGAGTTAACTCATTTAAACTAATTTGACTACAATACCAAACCTCCCCCCAAATTGCTTTCTATTAGGGTTCTATTTACTGTCCCTAAGAACATATTTAAAAAGGATATAAGAGGTTTAGCTTTTAAAACATTGAAGGACTTGTGAATAAACCAAGGAGCCTCCTTATATCACTGACAATGTGTAAAGAACTGGATCCACAGAAGGGTTTCCTCCTCCGTAAAGTTAGGACAACAATGCCTAGTTTACTGTTTGTTATAAAGTGTGAGCAGAAAAATATAAAGGGTTCATTCAGCGCAGTCCCAGTCATGCTCAATAAATAGTAGTTACTATCTCTGTTATTGTTATTAGAATGATACTACTAATCACTATATCACAAATCATTATATATAAAATATTTTAAGTAGTTTTCTGGAATTATTGCTATAGGAACAAGAGCCTGAAAATGCAGTGATTACAATAACAAGAGTTACTTGCAAATCTGTCTCCAGATATTATGTAGGACTGAAAGAATGTTCCAAGGCAGACATGGCAAATGTCTAATGGACTGAAGAAATACCTAGATTCCAATTGTGACCTTCGTATTTGAGACTCTGGCTCAGCATCCTTCTCCTTACATGCCTTGGTTTCTTTGTATTTCTTTTCTGAAAATAGCTTAATTAAAATTTCCATATTTTTACGTTGTCCAATCTATTTTGCATGCAGAGTGAATACTTGTAAATAGGAAGTTTCCCCAAAAGAAGTATATTCCTTGTTAATGCCACTTTAGAAAAAAAAATTACTGGGTTTTAATTTTAGAACACTTTTATTTATTTTTTATTTTTTATTTTTAAAGATTTTATTTATTTATTTGAGAGAGAGAGACTGAGAGAGAGAGCACATGAGAGGGGGGAGGGTTGGGAGGGTCAGAGGGAGAAGCAGATTCCCTGCCGAGTAGGGAACCCGATGCGGGACTCGATCCAGGGACTCCAGGATCATGACCTGAGCAGAAGGCAGTCGCTTAACCAACTGAGCCACTCAGGTGCCCCTAGAACACTTTTAGATTTACCGAAATATTAAGCAGATAGTAGTACAGAGTTCCCATGCACCCCTGTACACAATTTCCTGTTACTAAAATCTTACCTCAGTATGGTACATTAGTTATAATTAATTATAAAATATTAATACATTATTATTAACTCAAGTCCATAGTTTACTTAGATTACCTTAATTTTAGCAATTTCCTTTTTTTGGTTGTTCCAGAATTCCATCCTGCAAACATTAACATTTCTTTTCATGTCTCTTTAGGTTTCCCTTGGCTGTGAGAATTTCTCAGACTTTCCTTGTTTTTGATGACCTTGTAAAATACTGGTCAGGTATAGATAGAATAATTCCTCTATTGAAATGTGTCTGATTTTTTTCATGATTAGTTTTGGGTTATGTGTTTTGGGGAGGAAGACTGTCAGTGCTAAAATGCTCAAATAAGCTTGAGAAATGCTGAGGTATAGGGGCATATATAACTTGAGCTTTCTGAGAGCTTTTGATATGCTACTGGAATTTTGGAATCTCAGGGAGGGGCAGTGACGTCCAAAGCATTCCAACCAATGGGCCATAGAAAACTTTTTCTGATGCTGTGTTTATTAACATGTCCAAAAGGATTTGGGAAATGCTTAGGCTTACATTTTAGCCTTTGTTTAAAGTTGAGTGCTGTGAATTGTGTAAGACTGTTGAATCACAGACCTGTACTTCTGAAACAAGTAATACCTTATATGTTAAAAAAAAAAAGAAGATAGTAAGAAGGGAAAAATGAAGGGGGGAATTGGAGGGGGAGATGAACCATGAGAGACTGGACTCAGAAACAGACTGAGGGTTCTAGAGGGGAGGGGGGTGGGGGGATGGGTTAGCCTGATGATGGGTATTAAAGAGGGCACGTACTGCATGGAGCACTGGGTGTTATATGCAAACAATGAATCATGGAACACTACATCAAAAACTAATGATGTAATGTATGGTGATTAACATAACAAAATAAAAAAAAAAGCTGAGATTCTCAGATCTTCACAGTAAATAAAACAATATAAACACCCAAACTCCCAGTCCCCTCCCCCCACCCCCCCCCCACCAGGGCTCTCTGGAAAAGATTTGTCAGTGACAAAAAATGCTCACCTTGGACCTAAAAAAAAGCAATGCCTGACTGGGGAAGAGTATCACTTGGTAATCATCCACTTACAATGTTAAGATGCTTTGTTTTCAAGATACCAGGCATTTAAAACATAAACTCCTTAATGGTCAATGCTTTACAGTTTTGGATTCTTTCTTCTCAATTAATCAATAAAAGCTCATTTTGGAAAAATGAAGAGCTGGCTGGCCACGCTGCTTTAATTAATATCAGAGGCACCAATACAATGCATTAATTAAATAAAATGCATCACCTGACTTCCTGATAAGACTATTCAAATAATACACTTTAAAATACTTGCAGATTAATCAGATATCACTTTCTAGTTTGTTGGGTATTAGAAATGTACATAGGCTGACCATGTATGAAGTGAAAAACATTTGAGGAGATCTTAAGCTATAATCAGCACTGCTCAAAACTACTTTGACAGAAAATACGATTTGGAAAGATTTCATCTGCTCTACTGAATAGCTGTTGGAATCAAAGGAGACACTCTGGCCACACTCATTTATAATCACAACATGGTACCATTAAAACACCACCCACTCATGGTAAATTTCACTTAAATTCCTAATCAATGTTTCGGGGTCATAGGTTATCTCCATTCTTCACAATGTTATTACAATATAGTTACAAGTGATCACAGCGTCCTTTAATTTCTTCTTCCTGATGTACAATATTACCTTTATCTGAATCTCCCTGAAAACTGTGAATGTAATATTAAAGAAGATAAGAAAGCTGAGCTAAACTCCAATCCCCTTCAAATCTATAAAAGGAAACTTGTGAGGTACAAGGAATTGGAACATTCCATTCCTACTGTGTAATGTTGGGAAACTTTCCATATCATAAAAGATCATCTCATATCATAAAAGATCACAGATCCTAACTGCTTCTAACAGCTGAACAGCTGGGTGGGGTGGAGGGGGGATCTACCACGCAATCATCTGGTTTGATTATTAAACTGAAAAGCTACCAGAATTCTTCCTTCTACCTCCCTTCCAAAAGTTTAGTTTGATAATGTGGGCAAGGAAATTATTAAGTTGAAAAGAAATGTACTAAGTCCAAGACACTGATTTCCAATTTATAAAAATTTGCAATGGGAATCTTACCTAGAAGTGCTAACCACAAATGCCAGTATTAATGGGGATACAGCTACCTGTAATATGGATTTTTAAAAAAGAGATCCGAGAGGTTCAAATTTCACGTTATATCAGAATGAGCTCTCTCACTTGACTTGATCATGTCATCGCTATTATATTGCATATCGCAGGGCCCCAGTATTTGTCTCAATTAAGATACACAGTTGGAAAGAAAGCTGAGAGAATATCTTGTGCCACCAGAAATGTCAGTCATGGACTTGAGTGGTAAGCTTCAATCTTTGCTACCCTTTTATTTTTTAAGATTTTATTTATTCATTTTATTTTAGAGAGAGAGAGAGTGTGGACAGGGGGAGGAGCAGAGGGGGAGGGAGAGATAATCTCAAGCAGACTCTGCCCCGAGTGAGGAATGCACTCGGGACTTGATCCCAGGACCCAGAGATCACCACCCTAGCTGAAACCAAGAGTTTA